TACTAATAAGATAATTTGGTTAAGTGGATTAATACAAGAAAAATACACAAGAATCAAAAACTTTTTTCCAACTAGTAAGAATATGTATCTTATCCACATTTCCACAAAAATGATAAAATACCTAGAGATTAATTTGTATAGAAAGTTATAATATTTTTATAAGATTGATAAAACCTTATTTAAGGACAAGGTATGAATAAATGGAAAAGTAAATACCATGTTAACCTGTCACAATGTAACATAAATTCAATGCAGTTTGGGGAAAGAAGGAAGTCGAAGGAGGTTGGCAATGTTTTCCCTTTTTTCTTTTTTAATGGAACAAAATAATTTTAAAATTCATATGAAAGAATAAATATTGAAGAGTTAAAAAATTGTTGAAAGAGGACAGTGAGGAGGAACTTTCTCTGATATATATATTTAAACATCTTTAAACTGCTGTAAACAAAATATATTTTTGGTACAGGAATAAATACATAGAGAAGTAGAAGAGGAAAAGGTTCAGAAATAGTTTGGTGTATAAAGGAACTGAATATATAACTGAAGTGGCACTTCAATTTAGCTAGGAAAAGATAGTTTATTTATTAAATGGTCGTGAAGAAAATACAGCTTCCCATTTGGAAGAAAGAAATGTAGACTTTACCTCAAAATATGTAAAAATCATTTCCAGATGGATTAAGGTTTAAATATAGAAGTATAAGATATTAAAAAAGAAAACTTAGAATATTTGTGTAGCATTGGAGTGGAATGGACTTTTCTAAAAAACCAAGGGAAACTAAGGGGCTGTGAAAGGAACAACAAATATACCTAACCACATTAAAATGATCAAATTTTTATGAAAGTAGACATCAGAATTAAAGTATCTTTTAAAAATTTTACAATACATCTAACAGTTGAAGCTTTCCTATCAACAGGATACAAAGAATTCTTATAAAAAGATTAAAAAAAGAATCTAATTCAAAAAGGGCAAAGAATATGAATAGACTTTTCATATTCAATTCATACTGAATAGAAATCTGATCAGCCAACAAAATATGTTTATATCTTTTAACAATGGTTAGATAGATTAAAAGTGTGAAATCAGGACTTCCCTGGTGGTCCAGTGGTTAAGAATCTGCTTGCCAATGCAGGGGACACGGGTTCAATCCCTGGTCTAGGAAGATTCCACATGCTGCAGGCAACTAAGTCCATGTGCCATAGCTACTGAGCCTGAGTTCTAGAGCCCAAGCTTTGCAACGAGAGAAGCCACTGCAATGAGAAGCCTACGCATTGCAACTGGAGCGTAGACCCCACTCGCAGCAACCAGAGAAAGCTCAAGCGCAGCAATGAAGACCCAGCAACAGCCAAAAATAAAATAAATTTAAAAAATTTTTAAAGTGATACATCACTTTCTGCCCATCAAGTTGGCAAAAAAAGAGAAAAATTAAAGCAAGAATATCCAGAGTTGGTTAAGACTGAATGGAAAAGGAAACTCACATATTCTTGATGAGAGAGTGAATGAAAACTGCTACACATTTTGAGAAAGTGACCTAGTACTATTAGTACACACACAGCAATCTCACTTTCAAGATCTACTATATAGAATTTTAAACACCTGGATGTTGGGAGTTCCCTGGAGGTCCAGCGATTAGCCCTGCATTGCCTCCCTGGTCGGGGAACTAAGATCCCACAAGTGGTGGTGCACAGCCAGGAAAAATAAATTTTTAATTAAAAAAATTAAAATAAAACACTGGGATGTAATTATGGACATTTATACAAAGATATTTTTTCAGCATTGTTTGTAGTGCCAAATACTGATAGCAGTTTAAGTATCCACCAACTGAGAAAAACTTAAATAACAGATGAAACAAACATTATAAAGGAATGTCATGCAACCATTAAAAGGAGATGCAAGATAGTGAAGTTTAGACCTAGAAGGATAGTTATAAGAAAGTGATATGTATATGTATAATAAAAAAGAAAGAAAGACCATAGAGGTGGAAATATAACTGCATAGGATTTTATAAACATAGAGAAAGGTATAAAAGGATAAACCCCAAACCATATAACACTGATTACCCCAATAGAGGGGGCTGGAGCTGGGAAGGGAATTTTCTAACTTTGTTTTTTTTCTTCTTCATCTTTGACCTGTGGGTTATTTACAAACTACAACTCACTCAATGATATGAATTTCCTTACATACCTTCGCATGGTTTGATTAGCTCCAATAAACACATATTAAAGTTGCCACATATTAAACACATATTGATTTTTTAATTAATTAAAATATTAAATTAATATTAAAATATTATGTTGAGTGAAAGGAGGCAATTTCAAAAGGTCATATATTATATTCCATTTTTTTATCTTCTGGAAGAGAGAGGCCCAGCGTGATAGTGAACAGATCAGTGACTGCCAAGGGCTGGGTACCAAAGAAATGCCTTCATGGAAACAGAACTGGTGTGTCCTGATTGTGGGAATGGCCACCTGAATCTCTGTACATATGCCTAAACTCATGGAATTATACACCCCAAAAAGTCAGTTTACACCCCAAAAAGATAATTTTAAAAATAAGATTAAGGGAAACTTCCTACACTGTTGGTGTAGCCACTATGGAGAACAGTAAGGAGGTCCCTTAAAAAACTAAAAATAGAGCTACCGTATGATCCAACAATCCCACTCCTGGGCATATATTTGGAGAAAACCCTGATGCGAAAAGATAGATGTTCCCCAATGTCCATTGAGCACTATTTACAATAGCCAAGACATGGAAACATCCTCAGTGTTTATCGATGGAGAACTGATAAAGAAGATGTGATGTGTATATGTTTATATATGTGTATATGAATAAATGGGCTTCGCTGGTGGCTCAGTGGCAGACTCCACTTGCAATGCCAGAGACCAGGGTTCGATCCCTGGGTTGGGACAATCCCCTGGAGGAGGGCATGGCAACCCACTCCAGTGTTCTTGCCTGGAGAATCCCCATGGACAGAGGAGCCTGGCGGGCTGCAGTCAATGGGGCTGCAAAGAGTCGGACACGACTGAGCGACTAAGCACAGCACACGTGTACAAATATATGTGTATATGCATATAAGATGTGACGCATGTGTATATATAATTATATTATAATATATTATATATAATGGAACATTACTCAGCCATAAAAAAGGATGAAATAATGTCATTTGCAGCAACATGGATGGACCTTGAGATTGTCATCCTGAGTGACGTCAGACAGAAAAAGACAAATACCATATGATAATTGCTTGTATGTGGAATTTAAAAAAACGGTACAAATGAAACTGTTTATAAAACAGAGTCACAGATGTGGAAAACACACTTATGGTTACCAAGGGGGAAAGCAGGGCAGGAGGAATAAGCTGGGAGACTGGGATTGACATGTCACACTAGGTATAAAAAGTGAAAGTGTCAGTCGCTCAGCACGGCTGACTCTTTGAGACCCCAGAGACTGTAGCTCGTCAGGCTTCTCTGTCCATGGAATTCTCCAGGCAAGAATACTGGAATAGGGAGCTATTCCCTCTCCAGGGGGCTCTTCCCAATCCAGGGGTTGAACCAGGTCTCCTGCGTTGCAGGCAGATTCTTTGCCATCTGAGGCACCAGCAAAGCCCATTATGCATCAAGCCCACTATGTATAAAGTAGATAACTAATGAGAACTCTACTCAACACTCTGTGGTGACCTATATGGGAACAGAATATAAAAAAATCATGGATATCTGAGTCACCTTGGTGTGCAGCAGGAAGTAACACAACATCGTAAATCAACTATATTCCAGTAAAAATTAATTATATATATAAAAAAATCTCTGCATGTGTGAGTCAGACTCTGGAACCACTGGGCCCGATAGACTAGTGTCTATGCCCTGGATACTTTGACTTTGATCAAGGAGTAGTGGCTGGAAGGAACTTTGAGTTGTCTCTTCTGGGAGGGTGTGTTCTATGAGTGGGAAGAAAAATAAAATGGCTTATTAACCAAAAATAAAATGATAGAAATAAGATTAAAATTGCCCCCAAACTAATTAAATTTCAAGAATTAGGTGGACACCTTTTAAAATATAAGGAACGTTTATAAAGAAGCAGCTTTCTGTTCAGTTGATTTTCTACATTGGATATTTATTCCTGTTTTAGTGATTACACTCTTGTCTGTATAATTTCATTGCTTCTACTTCCTCTAGATTTGTCTTGCTCTTCTGTTTAGGATTTTTTTTTAACTGGAGACAAATCATTGATTTTCGATCTTCCTTTCCTTTTCTTTATTATATACGCATTTAAGTCTACAGATTTCCCCCTAGTTACTGCATTGTGCTGTGCTGTGCTAGGTCTCTCAGTCGTGTCCGACTCTCTGTGACCCCGTGGACTGTTAGCCCGCCAGGCTCCTCTGTCCATGGGGATTCTCCAGGTAAGAATATTAGAGTGGATTTCCATGCCCTCATCCAGGGGATCTTCCCAACCCAGGAATCGAATCTGGGTCTCCTGCATTGCAGGCAGATTCTTTACCAGCTAAGCTACCAGGGAAGCCCAAGCATTAGCCGCACCCCCAAACATGTTGGTATGTCATCACATAACCATCACTCAGTTCAAAATATTACCTAGCTTCTTTGATCCATGGGTTAATCACAAACTACAATTCATGCAATGATATGGATGAATCTCACAGAAGTAACATTGACTATGAGAAGCCAGAATTTAAGACATGAGGATGCTGTGATTCTAGTCATAAGAAACAGGTTCAGAACTACTTGACACTGCGACAGACATGATGAGGTGGCCTTTGGTTGTGGTTAGGAGAAGGCTTCTGAGGGCTGGTATTATTCTGTTTCTTGATCTGGGTCCTAGTTGCCTAAGTGGGTTCAGTTTGTTAAAAACTTATCAAGCTGTCCACCTTTGTGTATTGTAGATTTCAAGATAAAGGACTTTTTTAAACACGGCAAGTGATGGGGGAAGGCCCTTGACCATAAGAAACTCCCCCTGGCTGCAGTCCCCAAATTCCAACCAGAGGGGACCGCTGTGATCCTGAACCCCGGGAAGTGAATCCTCAGTGGAGGAAGGCACTCACCTCCCACGCCTGTCTTCTGTTGGGCCAGGTAGGACTCGAAGCCCAGGCGGAAGCGGTTCTCGCCGCCCAGGCGGCCGTGTGTGCCGTCGTCCACCAGGAAGAAGGCTGAGTAGTTGTAGTCGAGAGGGAACTGGACCCCATCCTCCGGGTCTCCGCGCCACCGGTACCTTGCGGGGAACGAGCCCTGGGGGGGACAAGTGGCCAGACCAGGGGGTCTTTCCATCAGGGCCAAGGGGACAGACACTAGGCGCTCACCCCTCCCCTAGCCCTAAGCCCCAGCCCCCTCCCCACTCAGACCCGGGACTCCAGGCCCCCAGCGCCCCCCTCTTCCAAGACCCCAGATCCCACCTTGGGGTTGGTGAGAGTGCATCTGTTCCGCACCACGCCCCAGGGGGCCACGCCCATGGCCACCACCTTGCTGCCCCCAGTGCTGGCCGTCTGGTGGTCCCGCACGGCCGCGCCGACGTGCCGCCCGATGCCTTTGTGCAGCCCCCCAGTGACAATCCAGGCCCCTACACAGGGACACAGAGTAGTGGTGAGGTCCAGAGACAACGCAGGCTGCTGCAGAGACACAGAGAGAGACCGGAGAGCGAGACAAAAGCCACACAGAGACGGCAGGGGAGAAGACAGGGATTCCAGGGAAGTGGGGGGAGATGGGGGGCCAGGAGGCACAGCCCCCCCACCTCAGTCACCTGTGCTCTGGGCAGCCCGCACCAGCCCGCGTCGCAGCAGGTCCTGCAGCCAGGTCTGGAGGGTGGGGCCCCCTGACCCCCCCAGAACTGACACCACCAGGTTCGGGGCCCGGAAGCCCCACACTTTAGTGACCAGGGTGTAAACTGTAGCTGGGTCCGTGCGGTCCGAGAGCCGGAGGAACTGTAGACACACGAGAGGAAGGGACACGGGGAGAGGGGACAGAGATGCAGAGAGAGGACACAGAGATGGGGGGACAGAGACCCAGAGAGAGGAGGACAGAGACCCTGAGAGGGGGACAGAGACCCTGAAAGGGGGACAGAGACCCAGAGAGGGGGGACAGAGACCCCAAGAGGGGGGACAGAGACCCAGAGAGGGGGGACAGAGACCCCATGAGGGGGGACAGAGACCCAGAGATTGGGACAGAGACCCAGAGAGGGGGGACAGAGACCCCACGAGGTGGGGCAGAGACCCAGAGATTGGGACAGAGACCCAGAGAGAGGAGGACAGACTTACAAAAGACAGAGGGGGTGGAGGGGACAGAGACCCGGAAGAGGTGAAGACAAGGATAGGCAAGTGGGGAGACGCAGTGTTCAGCTGGGATGCTGAGGCATGCAGTCCCACCAGCTTTGCCCAGACATGCTGGCCTCACATTGCTGATCTTGCGGCCGGCGCCCAGGAAGTCCAGGTCCCCGAAGGCATCTGTGGGCTTCTCCGTGGTGTGCAAGTCACTGTCCCATACGGTCACCACGGCTGCCCCGAATGCATCCTCCACAGCCACGGAGGGGTGGGCGCCCCGGGGATGCCCACACTGGCACAAAGTCCCCCTGGGTGGGGGGAGGAGGAAGGAAGAGGATGAACCCCAGGAGTGTCCGACCAACCCCAAGCATCCTGCAGAAATGTCCCTACTTTTGTGTGTCCCCCCCAGAGGTGCTCACAGTCCATGCTGACCCTGGCACTGCCCCTCCTTGATTCTGACCAGTCTGAGGGAGAGATTGGGGCAGAACAGACACAGTCACCTCGCCCATCAGCAGGAAGCCACAGTGGCTAAGCAAGCCTGGACAGGGAGGTCTGTGTACAGGGCCCCATCCTCACTGTTGCCTTCAGGGCCTGAAGTGAGAAAGTGCAGGGGGACCGGTCATCGGGGTGGCCTTGCTGCTCCCAGTCCAGATAGATGATATTCACATGAAAAGGGAAATCAAGAGAGTGATTCAGAGAGCATGCGCGTTCTAGAGGCCAAGGCAGCTGTGTGACTTTGAGCAAGTAGCTTCACCTCTCTGAGCCTCAATTTCCCCCTCAAATGAAAAGACAATAATAGCACAGCCTACTTCAGAGAGCTGTGAGGAGCCAGTGGAATAACAACATTTCCTCCATTGGGGGCTGCATACCAGATCCAGTCTCCGTGAACTCCACACAGAGCTTTAAATAACCTTGAATAGCACAGTGAGAAAGTCATTTCTTTTTGAGCTCTCCTGATTACTGTCAAGAAGAGAGGCTCAGCTGAGTGCTAGAATACTTGTCATGCCTAACTCTGTATTACTTTTTTTATAACAGAGAAAAGTTGGCCTCGGGCTTAGGAAAAGGCTGGCAACAGCATCCATTTAGAAGGTAAATACTTCAGCTTAGTTTTTATTGTAATTGTCTTTTATGGCTTGTTTCTTTCTCTTTGTGGCAAATGGAATGGATTTTTCCATTTATGGTGATCATATATGAGTCATTTTCCCCCTAAATAAATATACAATTATCCATAGTGACTTAATGGGATTGGCACCCGAGTTTTAAAAGAGCAAACACCGAGGGTTGAGAGATGAGGGATTTGTTTTGGACCAAAACTCCTTTGGTCCTTGATGCCAGAAGGGATTCAGATATCAGGGGAGACTGGCATTTATGTAACAGTGAGTGAGTGATTGTCGCTCAGTCGTGTCCGGCCCTTTGCTACCCCAGGGACTGTAGCCAGGCTTCTCTGTCTACGGAATTCTCCAGGCAGGAATACTGGAGTATAAACAGAGTAAGCTACAACTTAGACTAATTTTCTAAAAGGAATAGCACAAGTGGTCCATGGATTTAGCAAAAGTTGTAAAGACAATAGGGGCTTCCCAGGTGGCACTAGTGGTAAAGAACTTACTAGCCAAGGCAGGAGACAAAAGTTGAGACTAGGGTTCAATCTCTGGGTCGGGAAGATCCCCTGAAGGAGAGAGCATGGCAACCTGCTCTAGTATACTTGCCTGGAGAATCCCATGGACAGAGGAACCTAGCGGGCTACAGTTCACAGGGCTGCAAAGAGTCAGACACGATTGAAGCAACTTAGCACACGCGCACACACGCAAAGACAATAAAAAGAATCAAGCAACCACACTGAATATACCAGCTCCTGGCAGAGTGAGAACTATAGGACATATCCCTCCTCCTTTCTGAGTCAACGTTCAAGGTCCTGGCATGCCTCAGTTTACCCACCTGATCCTTTCACCCATCTCAACCCCGTCCCTGGGCCCCCCATCACTCGTTCCTGTCCATCTACTTCCCTTGAGCCCTTCCTGGCAAAATTGCTTCAAGGAATGTTCCAGAACCTGAACTATCCAGTACAATAGCCTCTAATCAGTGCTCCTTGTAGTCAAATAAAATTAAATACAATTAAAAATTCAGTTCCACAGTTGCTCTGGTCACATTTCAGGTAATCAGGAGCCACACATGTATGGCCAGTGGGTGCCATATTGGATGTGACTATAGAACATTTTCATCATTGCAGAAAACTCTGGTGGACCAGGACACCCCGTATGCCTGTCTCATCTCCTACCCACCCCTTTCTCTGCGTGGTCACTGAAACCGAAATTGTCCGCGATAAAATCAGCAGTTACCTGCACGTCCCCAAATACAATGGTTACTATTCAGGTCTCATCTGACTGATGAAACAGCACCAGTCATGGCTAAAAGGCTCTGATTCTAGAAAACCTTTTCCTTGGCAGAGCACACCCATTCCCCTGACTGCCCCGTCCAGCCTCATCTGCAGCTTTCCCTTCCTCTGTGCCTCCCCTGAGTCCAGGTGTTTCCCAGAGCCAGGGCCACGTGCCTTCCCAACATGGGCCTCAAGCTCAGCGTCCCCAAGGGCCAGGCAGAGAAGAGAAAGAAGCATCAGGTGGAAGATTATAAGTGGGTGTGCTGAATACTGCCCTGACTTGAGGTAGCATGTCTGTCTTGAAGCTTTCAGAGACAAGTTTTTAAGAAACTCTCTTCCATGGCAGTGGGTGGGAGGTGGAGGGGTGGAGAGATGGGCCGCAGATTAACCATTTGCAACATCCTCCAATTTTACGCTTTCTTCCCACCCCCATCCTACTTCCACAGTGTCCATTACCATCTACAGCTGCTGCTGCTAAGTCGCTTCAGTTGTGTCCGACTCTGTGAGACCCCATAGACGGAAGCCCACCAGACTCCCCCGTCCCTGGGATCCTCCAGGCAAGAACACTGGAGTGGGTCGCCATTTCCTTCTCCAAAGCATGAAAGTGAAAAGTGAAAGGGAAGTCGCTCAGTCGTGTCCGACTCTTAGAGACCCCATGGACTGCAGCCTACCAGGCTCCTCCGTCCATGGGATTTTCCAGGCAAGAGTACTGGAGTGGGGTGCCATTGCCTTCCCCGACCATCTACATCTAGGACTTCTCAGATCTAGGATGGGAGTCGCAGACCTGTCCTGAGTCCCTGACCCAGGTCTGCCATGCCTTTGGTTCCCCCAGGTCCCTTCCACTCGTGAAGCCCCACTCTGAGCTTGATGCCTTTTCCCAAACCTACTCTTGCTCCTGGGTTCCCATCTCCGGGGCTCCCAAGCCCCAGACCAGACATCTGGGCCCATCCTCCGCTTGCCCCTCACTCCACAAATCCATCAGCCCCCAAGCTCCTGCCCCGTGAATCTTTGCCCTGACCCCTCCTCTCTGCGTCCCACAGCCCCGGCCGCCTCAGGCCTCTTCTCCTCCCACTTAACCCTTGCCCGACATGGGCCTCAAGCTCAGTGTTCCCGAGGGCCAGGCAGGGAAGAGAAAGAAGCATCAGGTGGAAGATTATAAGTGGGTGTGCTGGACACTGTCCTGACTTGAGGGAGCATGTCTGTCTTGAAGCTTTCAGAGACAAGTTTTTAAGGAGCCCTCTTCCATGGCAGTGGGTGGGAGGTGGAGGGGTGGGCCACAGAATTACCCATTTGCAACAGCCTCTGATTTTACGCTTTCTTCCCACCCCCACCCCACTCCCACAGTGCCCTTAGCATCTACAGCTGGGACTTCTCAAATCTAAGATGGGAGTCGCAGAGCTGTCCTGAGTCCCTGACCCAGGTCTGCCATGCCTTTGGTTCCCCCAGGTCCCTTCCACTCATGAAGCCCCACTCTGAGCTTGGTATCTTTTCCCAGACCTACTCCTGCTCCTGGGTTCCCATCTCTGGGGCTCCCAAGCCCCAGACCAGATGTCTGGGCCCATCCTCTGCTTGCCCCTCATTCCACAAATCCATCGGCCCCCAAGCTCCTGCCCCGTGAATCTTTGCCCTGACCCCTCCTCTCTGCGTCCCACAGCCCCGGCCCGCCTCAGGCCTCTTCTCCTCCTACTTGACCCTTGCCCAGCCTTTTCGCCAGCTTCCCAAACTCCCAGTCATCCTCACGTGGCCCCCAGGGAGTTCCACACCCAGAGCTGACCCTGCCCCTCCCAGGGCTCCCTGGGACACCCAGACCCAGTCCCCAACCCCTGAGGGTGGCATTTGAGGCCCTGTGACTTCTGGTCCCACCCTCTTCCTTGGTCTCCTCTCTCCGATGGCCCTGGCATCCTGAACTCTGCCCTCTCTTCGACGCACAATGTCAACACGGGGAGATTTATACTTGCTGCTCCCACTCCTGGAATCCAGCCCACCTTCAGCTGTCAAACTCCAACTCTGTCACCTTCAAATGTCCCCTCACTAGCCCGTCTTCCTGTGTCCCCTCCCAGCCTTAACCAGATGCTCCCCCAGGGACCAGCGGTGTGTCCCGTGCAGCTCTCGCTTCCTTGCCTTAGAATCATCTTCCTCCCACCAGACCAGAGGTTTCTAAACTTCCTTGACCACCCTTCCCGTCAGTAAAAGTTTCTGAGCACTCACCCCCAAATAGTATTTATATTTACACATCATTCAAGCCATCCTGCACTGATATAGTCATAACAGAACACACACTAAATTAGGAACACTGACATTTCCCATACCCCAAGGGTGGTCTTAAGGACACCAGAAAGCCAGAGCCCCCTTGAGAGACCATCACTGAAGACCGGGAGCTCCTAAGAGCGGCCACTCTGCACCCTCGGTCACCGCGCCCAAGCACAGGGTCTACGCACGCTAGTTAGAAACTGCGACCTTCCGGTGGGAGTCAAACATATTTGCCAGGGCTTATTAAGCGCTGGGTGCTGTTTCAGAAATACTGCAAGCATTAACTTGTTTAACTCTCACAATAGCTTCAGGAAATAGAGCCTGCTTTTATGCCCAGAGGATAGATGAGTACAATGCCCAGAAGAGTAAAATGATTTGCCGGAAGCCACCTAGCGCCTCAGTTGAAATTTGTGTCTCAGTTGGAATGTGAACCCTGGCCAGGGCCTGTACTCTTGAACACAGTGCTCCCCCTTGGAAGTGCTGAGTGAGAGTTTCTTGGAGGAATGAAGGAAGGGATGAATGAATGAGACAGGGACAGCCAAGGAAGAAAGACGAGAGAAACTGACACCAGGAGGCAGACACCCAGAAGGGATACCGGGAAGGAAAGAAACAGAAGCCTGCCCTGGGGCTTTAACACTGCAAGTGTTTGCAGACTGACCCAAGGCCTCCCCAAGATACAGAGCCACCGGGGCACGCCCTTGGGAGTGTCCGCGGTGACAGGACCCGGCACTGAAAGGACTGAAGGGCGGGGTCTGCAGTGTGCGGGCCGGGGCGCTCCAGGGTCTGTCCCCTGGGCGAGCTCCTCACCCCGAATCTGTGGGGTCAGCGACGAAAGTCGTGCACGTCTTCTTCTTGAAGATCTTGGGAATCCAGCTCTGGGGGTCAGGAACAAGGGATGAGGGGATCCAGCTCAGTCCCGCGGACACGGAGTGACCCGCCCGCGCCCTAGCGGGAGATCCGGGAGTCCAGGACCCCAGCGTCATCGTCTCCCGGACTCCGGAGACTCGACCCCACCCCCGGCCTCCCCCGTTCTATCCGTCCCCAGGGACCCAGGGGTCCCGGCCTCCAGCAACCCCCCTCCTTTGTCTGGCCCGAGAATCTAGGTCTCAAGCGCCCTCCTCCCTGCGAGCCAGGAGGCCTGGCCCAGGCTCCCTGTTCCTCAGACCCGGGTCCGGCGCTGTACCTGCTCCTTCTCCGCACCCACCATGCTGCCGCGGCCACAGCGACCTGACAGCAAGCAACCCCTCCACCAACCCGGAGCTCCAGAAGTGCCCGGGACCGACCGGATCCGCCGCCTCCCCGCCCAGCCCGGGGCGGGACCAGGTCTGTGGGGCGGGGAGCAAAGGAGATGCGTAGAGCGGGAGGCGGGGCCGAGGATGGAACAGAACTCGGGAAAAGGGGTCAGGGACCAGAGAGAGGGGGACGGGGACCCAGAGGAGGGGACGGGGACCCGAGAGAGGGGGACGGGGACCCAGAGAGAGGGGGACGGGGACCCAGGGAGAGGGGGACGGGGCCCAGAGAGAGGGGGACGGGGACCCAGGGAGAGGGGGATGGGTCCCAGAGAGAGGGGGACGGGGCCCAGAGAGAGGGAGGATGGAGACCCAGAGAGGAAATGGCAGCGACGAGGCAGAGGGTCCACTGACAACACTGACAAAGTGTTGGGGGGACACAAAGACTTAGGTGGGGGCAGAGAATTGGATGGGTGGCGGGCTACATGACCCACAGAGACAGTGAGAAAGGCTTGGATAGGGTGGGGGCATGCAGACACACTCAAGAGTGAGCAGAAGGGGACAGAACCCTCAGGATGGGGGACAGGGATCCTGAGAGAGCAGGTGAAGAAACAACGGTGGAGAGAGGAAGACCCGTGAAGAAGGATGGGACCCCAAAGAGCTGGAGCAGCAGTGCTGGGATGAGCAGTGGGAGGTGTGGGTAGGCGGACGGGCAGGGCCACGTGTCCCCTGCCAGCTCTCTGACAGGGACAGCTGTGGCCGCCTGGGTAACCTGAGCCCCCCGCCCCCCTCCCTGTACCACATTTATAGCCCTGGCCTGGCCCCATCCCCTGCCCCCGGATCTGAGTCCCAGGGACGGGAGGTCACGGGTATGTGTGCTGCAGCAGGATTCCTCTCACCCCTCACCAGGGCCTCCATGCTGGCATCCACCATCTCAGCAGAGTAGCCCATTCTGGCAAGAAACTCCTGGGAATCTAACCCCCCAGTCCTTCCTTGGCAGGGGTCTCTCCCTTCACATACATCCCTCCTGCTCCCCTCCCCCGGGGTCCAGGCTCCCCCACACTGGCCGACTAAAAATCTAGCCATTGTCTTGGCAGCTACCAAACATGAACGCTTTGGCAGCGCAAAGTCAGAGACCCTTGACTCCTCTCTCCTGGCCAAAGAGAGACCCCTTCATCCCACCCCCTTCCCAGCTGAGAGGAGGAGGCGCAGGAGGGGAGGGGCAGGAGGGGACTGACCCAGAATAACTCAGGGCCCAGAGTAAATTTAGCCACAGAGAGGGGAGGGGAGAGACCCTATTGGCTGGGAAGTGGGAGGGAGGACCAGCGAGGGGGGTCAGAGGACTCTGAAGACAGCCTCAGAGGGGTGTCCAGAGGCTGACTGTGAGGACCAGAGGGCAGAGACGGGGAGGGACACAGCAAAGGAACGACATAGGGAGTCAGAAAGGGAAGGAGCCCCAAAGGGACAAGGAGCCCAACATCCATCCTCGCAGCCACAGCCGCAGTGGGAGCCAGCCCTGGGAGCAGCTCTGCGGCCCGTCCCCATGGGCCCCTGCGGGCCATGGCTGCACACTTCTGTCCTCTGGGCCGCAGTGGCCAGCCTGCTCCTCCCCCCCGCCGTGACCCAGCAGCTGAGAGGGGCTGGGCCCGGCCCCAGCAACTGGGACGACCATGCAGGAGTTCCGGGGCCCTCAGAGGACGTGTCGGGCAAGCCTGACCACCCAACGCACAGCCACGGAGGCCATGGAGATGAGAACAGGGATGTTTCCGCAGAGAGCAGGCATCATCTCTGGGGCCACGGAGACCACGGAGAAGAGGACGAAGATGTCTTCAGAGAGTCCCAAGGCCATAGGTACCAAGGCCACGAGGTGGGAGACGAGAACGTCTCTGACGAGGAGGAATACCCCGAGCATGCTCAGCAGGCCCGCGGACACAGACACCACGGAAATGAAGACGCGGATGATTCAGCTGAGCGCGGGGACCACTTTCCCAGCCACGGGAGCCAGAGCCATCAAGACGAGGAGGAGGAGGAAGTTGTGTCCAGTGAGCATCACCATCATCACATCGTCAGGCATGTCCACCGAGGCCACAGAGAAGAGGAAGATGAAGACGAGGAAGAGGAGAATNTTCCCAGCCACGGGAGCCAGAGCCATCAAGACGAGGAGGAGGAGGAAGTTGTGTCCAGTGAGCATCACCATCATCACATCGTCAGGCATGTCCACCGAGGCCACAGAGAAGAGGAAGATGAAGACGAGGAAGAGGAGAATGTCCCCACTGAATATGGACACCAGGTCCACAGACACCAGGACCATGGGAAAGAGGAGGATGAAGACGACTCAGAGGAACATGACCACGACCATGGCCCCAGCCACAGACACGGGGGCCACGAAGAAGATGATGATGACGGCGGCGATGTTGTCTCCGCCGAGCGCAGACATCAAGTCCACAGGCACCGAGATCATGGGGAGGAGCAGGAGGAGGCTCTCTCAGAGGAACATCCCCACCATCACAGCCCCAGCCACAGACACCAGGGCCACAAAGAAGAAGATGATGATGATGAAGACGACGATGATATTGTCTCCACTGAGCACAGACATCAAGTCCACAGGCACCGAGATCACGGGGAGGAGGAGGATGAAGATGACTCAGAGGAACATCACCACCATGGCCCCAGCCACAGATATGGGGGCTACGAAGAAGAAGAAGATGATGATGAAGAAGATGACAATGATATTGTCTCCACTGAGCACAGACATCAAGTTCACAGGCACCGAGATCATGGGAAGGAGGAGGATGAAGCTGTCTCAGAGGAACATCATCACCATCACGGTGGTGACAAGGAAGACGAGGATGAGGATGTGTCCACTGAACACTGGCACCAGGCTCCCAGACATACCCACCATGGCCTTGGAGACGAGGAGGAGGAGGAGGAGGAGATCACAGTCAAGTTCAGCCACCCTGTTGCAAGCCACCAACCCCAAGGCCACAAGAGTGCTAAGGGGGAGGACNAAGGAAGACGAGGATGAGGATGTGTCCACTGAACACTGGCACCAGGCTCCCAGACATACCCACCATGGCCTTGGAGACGAGGAGGAGGAGGAGGAGGAGATCACAGTCAAGTTCAGCCACCCTGTTGCAAGCCACCAACCCCAAGGCCACAAGAGTGCTAAGGGGGAGGACTTCCCAGAAGATTATAAAAAAGCAGTCCCTGGCCGTGACCACCATGGAGTCCCCAAGGAGGAAGATGAGGACATCTCTGCCAGGCTTGGCCACCAGGCTCCCAGCCATAGGCAGCAAGACCACAGAGATGAGGGGACCGGCCACAGAGGGTCCATTAACGAAGAGATTAGCCACCGGTCCCCAGAACACATGGGGGTGAAGGATAGAAGCCACTTAAGGGAGAGCGAGTCTGAGGAGGATGAGGAAGAGAAGGAAGAGGATCACAGCTCCCATGAAGAAGCTGACGAAGGTTCAGAGGAGGGAGGAGAAGGCACCCCGCATGGCAGCCTGGATGACCAGGAGGATGAGGAAGACGAGGAGGAAGGGCATGGCCTCAGCCTGAGCCAGGAGGAGGAGGAAGAGGAGGAGGAGGAAGAGAGAGAAGAGAGAGCTGAGGTTTGGGTCCCGCTGAACCAAGACCGCCAGGAGGAAGATGAGGAGGAGGCGGGGCTAGGAGAAGATGAACTCCCCTTCACCATCATCCCCAACCCGCTGACCAGGAAGGAGGCGTCTGGAGGGGCCTCCAGTGAGGAGGAGAGTGGCGAGGACACGGGTAAGTGATCTGACTGGCTGGGGGTGGGGAGGGGCGGAGTCAGCCTGCGTCATTGCTGCCGTCTTGTCCCCACAGGCCAGCAGGATGCCCAGGAGTATGGGAACTACCAGCCAGGGTCCCTGTGTGCCTACTGCTCCTTCTGCAATGTATGTCCGCAAGCCAGATGCACCCACCAAGCTGTTCCTAGACTTTGTCCAGGGCTCTGGTGTGCCTTGGGAGGGTCGTGACAAAGGAGAATCAGGGACAGTTCTGAGTGAACAAAGACACTTCTGGGGCCACCGGGGTGGGGGGGCAGACTGGAGGCCAGGAGGCTGGGGAGGAGGCTGGGACAGTGGTCCAAGAGTGGGAGGGTGAGGCCTGAGCTGCACTTGCAGACCCGGGGACAGGGAGGAGGGTGCAAGGCAGAGCCTGGGGTGGGGGGGGTGGGGACAGGACTGGAGACTGACCGCCTGTGGGGGGAGCAAGGAGGAAGCAGGTGAAGAGACCACCCGAACGTCCAGCCCACGGTAACGAGGTGATGTTGCAGCACCTTGCAATAGGGCAACCAGAGGGTGGCAAGCCGGTTGGGGGAAGATGACTGAGCTCAGTGTTGGAGGTGAGGAGGCCGGGTGTTGGAGGTGAGGAGGCCGAGACGTTGGGGAAACGTCCGGCGGGCTGGGTGGAGCACTGGTGGACGGCTCCCAAACATTTCCGTCTCACCTGGCTCCTCTGGCCCCCAGCGATGCACTGAATGTGAAAACTGCCACTGTGACGAGGAGAACATGGGAGAGCATTGCGACCAGTGCCAGGTGAGCGTTCTCCCAGACTCAAGGATGCCCCAGGTTCAGGATGGCCCGGGACCAGCTGAGCACCCCCGGCCCCGAATCCTGGCCTCTGCCCTCAACCTGACCTAACCCCTTACTCTTGATGTAGCCTTGACTCCAAACCCGAACCCACCTCTGACCTTAACCTCCATCTAGCTAGTCTCCTCCGCCCCTGACCATCTCCTACCTCTCTCTCCCTATCCTCGCCCCCAGCACTGTCAGTTCTGCTACCTCTGCCCGCTGGTCTGCGAAACTCTCTGCTCTCCCGGTGAGCATGGGCGGGGCCCAGGAGGAAACCGGGTGAAGGGGCGGGGCCTGTGGGGGCGGAGCCAACCCGAGGAGGGGACCGGAAGGCTGTGGGCGTGGCTATGTGGGGAGGCGTGGCCGAGGCGGGGCATCTTTGATAGGAATGGGAGGGGCACCGAGGGGTGGGGCCCGCACAGAAGGAAGGTTGGGGAAAGAAGCCAAAGCTAGAGGGGTTAGGATTGCCTAGAGGATTGAGGGGCGAGCCTAGAGCCGAGAGGGTGCGGCCAAAGCAAGAACGGGGCTCCTGAAACACCCAGAGCCGAGGGAAGGAGTGGGCCCTTCAGAGGTGTCCCAGAAGAAGGAATTCATTTGGGAGAAGGAACCCAGAAAGGCGGGCGGAGCTAGTCCTGATCCTGGACTGAGGGGAAAGTGACCCCCAAATTCACCCGTGGTGTACCCCTCAAGCCTCTTCTCTCCCACAGGAAGCTACGTCGACTATTTCTCCTCGTCCCTGTACCAGTAAGTATATGGAAGGGAAAGTTTGAGGGCTCCTTTAGAAAGGTGCTGTCCCGCTATGAATTACTGGACAACCCTGGGATTCTGTTTCCCCCTTGGTGAAACGGGCAGGTTAAGGACCTCTAAGCGCCATGGGGTGAGCTAGGGACACTTCGACTGTCCAATCTCTGCGTCCTTCTCTCCAGAGCCCTGGCCGACATGCTGGAAACTCCGGAACCCTGACCCAGCCTCGCGGCTGCGGCGCAGACATACCTCCCTGGCCCTCCGACCCCTTTCCACGAGCCATATTTATTTCTCTGAATAAACGTGCTCCCGGAGACCTCACTGTCAGGCGTGGGGTCGTGGGTTTGAGGGAGAAGGGGCCTGAACTCCTCGAGGTGTTTGGTTTGCTAGGTCCTGATAAATAAATCAGTCAACACGGGAGCTTTTTGAAACAGTTCTCTTTACCCGTGATCACTGAGTGACGCCTGGGGCAGGGAGGCCGACCAAGAGTCGGGGGCGAGGGCTCCCCCACCGTCCTTCCTCCCCCCACGCCACGTCGCCCAGTGGCATCGTGGAAAGAGGATTCTCCCATGCAAACCCCGGAGCCGGAGCGGAACGGGGAGCGCAGTTCTGCACCCCGTACCACCGGGGCACGGACACGGCCACAGCACGGGGGGCGGAGGGGCCTCGGGGACACGAGACACTGGGGGGAGAGAGGGAACCCCGCCCGCAGCTGACCCCAGGCACCGGCGACGGGAGGCGGCGGGGCGGGGCTGAGTGGCACAAGGGGCGAGGCTTTTAGCAGCGAGTCCTCCCTCCCCTCCTTCCGGACGAAGAAGGAGGACTTGGGCCCCGCAACTGAGAAGAAAGAGGAGGGGTCAGCCTCTCCCCGCATGCGGCCCGGGAGGGAAGCCCCGCCCCCTTCCCGCGGGGGAAGGGCACCCATCTCCCATCGGAAACAGATCAATAAATTACAAAGTAGAGGAAAGGGAGGCGGAAGTTTGGGGCGGGATTTCTTCCTGCCCTCTTCTTCCCCCCTCTCAGTCCAGTGCATGTGGTTTGGTCCAGGCCCAGTCCATTTGTGAGGCGGGGACCAGCATCCCCCGTTCGTCTGTACAGATGGTCCAGTCCGCGGCGCGAGCTCCCCAGTAAACTCTCCCCGGCGAGACCATACTGTGGGCAGGAGGGGAAACAGCCCAGCCTCTGAAGGGTTCTTCCGTCCGAGTGAGGTCACCTGCATTGACGCCAGGCGTGAAGATCCACTGTGCCGCCCCGATCCCAAAGATCGCCCAGTACGATCCTCACCTGGAAGCCTACACTAGCAGGAATAGGTCCGGACAGAAACGCCATCTGCCCGGGAACTCCCAGAAGTCTGGCCTGGAGGGAGAATGAGCATTGGTTCAGCAAAGCGCAAAAGCCCCCCCGCGCGCGCGCGCGCACACACACACACACACATCGGCCCAGTGACAATTGGTTCAGTAAAGCGCACACACACCCGCCCAGTGAGCATTGGTTCAGTAAAGCGGGCGCGCACACACACACACCCGCCCAGTTCCTCCTCCACCCAAGCGTCCTCCCTTGGATTCCCCCTCCGGAGAAGCCAACAACCGCCTGACTCCCTCCAGGCCAGTTTCCATTCCTTTCTCAAAGCCTCAGATTCCTTCAAAATGCCCCCAGGTGACACTGGACGAGTTCATTTCCCACCCAGAAAAACGGGGTATGATGGGATTAATCCATTCCACACCCTGAGGAGGGAGTTGGCTTGTTGGAGCGGTCCATTTGTCGTGGGTGGGGAAAAATGGACTAGACCATCTCAGAACCCAGGGAGGATGCTGGAATGTGGAGATGGTCCCTCCCCCGACATCTATGAAGGGGAGGGGAGCAGAGGCTGTCCCATTTGGGATCCGCCCACCTTCCGGCTGCAGCTTGCGGAGAGGGAGCCCCGGCGAGCCTAGAGCCCCTGCTGCGGCCGAACGAAAGTTGGGGGGCAACATCTCAGCTGAGTCGGGGGTTACGCCTCGGAGGTCCTTCTCTCGGAACATCTTCCGCCAAGATGGGGAGCGGCTGAAGGACTTGGCACTGTCCTAGGTATAGGGGTGCAGCCAGCTAGTGAGGGACTAGGGCCGCGTTCCGACTTCGCACCTCCTTTTGACCCCACCCCTCTCCCGCTCCCTACGTTCCTTTAGCCCCGCCCCTTCCCTGGCACCGCCTCCAATCGCGACTCCTTGGCCAAGTCAAGCCCCACCCCTTCAGCTGCGAGCCTAGAGGGGCCGCTGGGAGTGTGGAGTACCCTATGCTTGCTGCTGCTGTGCCCACCTCATCCAGCCGCCTGTCTGTGCCCAAGGAAATGAGGTTGCTGAATTCCTTCTCCAAGAGCTGCCGGGCCTGCAGGGGAGAGGTGGGAGAGAGGCTGCAGCGTGCAGTCTGCAAAATGGGGATGCCCAGTGTGCCCCGGGCCCGGCGGCAGCTCACCTGCGCATTCTGCGTGGGGATCTGCAGAAGCAAGGCCAGGTCGGAGTAGTCGAAGGTCTCGTCCAGGGCGAGCAGTGCCCCGTGCACCCCGCTCTCCGTGAGGTTCGTGGCGAATTCCTTCAGGCCCAGCCCGGACACCCAACCCATGACCCGCTCATTGGACCACACCATCACATCTGGGGATGGAAGGGACCCTCAGTTGCACCCTTCCTGGGGCCTGGCCCTTCTCATTTATCCCATATCTCCAACCCCATTTCCTCCTCCTATCTCCACCCCGTCTCTCCTGGCCTCCCTCCCCTTCCCTGTTTATGCCTCCTCCAACCCTGTCCCAACCCCCCCCACATGGCTCCCAGGTCTACTTTTCTACTCACCTCGGATCTGGGTCTGACTCTCTTCCCGCCTCCGCTCCAAGTCCTTCCGGTCATAGTTGAGCCGTTTCAGGCACATGATCCCATAATGCAGACTCACCCTGAGTAGCAGAGAGCGGAGTCACAGAAGAGCCCCCACAACCCCAGTGACTGTTTTCCCTGTTGCTTGTGGTTTTCTGGGAGAGGCTGGGGAATTGCTCCACTGGATCTGTTCTATTGATTGCTGACCTTCCCAGGAGCCGGGATATTTTTAAAAAAGCAGTTCCTGTTAGCCAACCTGTAAGGGGTATGGGGTCAACTAGCCAAGCTGTCTCAGGACTTGGACAGTTCCTAGTGGGTCATCTTAATGAGTGGAAGGGGCACAGGAGTCTGGATTTCCTAACAATCCAGGCTAAAGAACCAAAGATAGTCCAAGATGAATTCCACATCACTGGTCCTATTTGCCACAGACTCTCTAGAAGTGGGGGCCTCCCCCACTTGGACTATTGCCACTAGCCAGGCAACCTCACCTGTGAAAGCTGTCCACCATCTTGAGCTGGCCCCGGAGCTCCTTCTTGTTAAGATGATCTAACATTCGGGCATCCACCAGCGACTCCATGAAGTAGCTGCGGTACTGGGGCAGCCCCAGGCTGGGCAGCCAGTCGTTCCCCACCCATTCGTGGTTCATGTCGCCATATGCCAGGATCTGGGGCCGTGGGCAGGTGGGGGAGCAGTCAGGCCTTCTGACCCCTTCCCATGTGTGTATGAAAGGGTACAGTCCAACCCCCCTCTCTCCCAAATCCAAGGCTGTTCTTTCTCCATCCCATAGCGGGACAATGGCCAGTCTCTGCTCAGGACAACGGGCAATCCAAAACTGTTTCCCTCTCCTTCATAATGACCTCACAGACCCTTGTCTACTCGAAGCATCATTATCACTTGAGAACTTGCTGAAATGCGGAATCTCAGACCCTAGGCTACTGAATGGAAATCCTCATTCTCACAAGAGCCTCAGGTGATGTGAACAGTACATTTAAGAAGTACTAGTCCAAAAAAAAAAAGGAAGTACTAGTCTAGCATCGTCCCAACTCAGAACAATGGATCAGTCCAATATCACTACTCCTCCAATTCCGCACAACAGATTCTTCCAGCATAGCTACCTCCCCAACAAAGGACAACGGATTCATCTACCACTCTTGCGCTGTCCCAAAACTACTAGCCCGATGCTACATCTGGCCCAGGACAATATTCTGGATCCACCCCAAGTCCTTCACTCCTTCCAGCATGAGGAAACAATCCATACCTTGGGCTCTTGGAAACAAAGACCCAACATAGCTCCTCTACCTCAGGTGAGTTCATACCTCTTGCTCTCTTGAGAATAAAATGTACCTCCTTCTACCCAACTTCTCAGCCTGATGTACCCCTGCCCAGCACACCACCCCGCCCCAAATGCTCTCCCTTTTGCCCCAGTACAGTGGAACAGCCCCACTTCCCTCTGCCGTAGGGCAAAGAGCCGCTCAGTGTTTCCCTCTAGTTACAGCAATAAAACAGCCCCTGAACCCGCGCAACCAACCATAATGGGATGACCCGTGCACCACTGACAATGGAACAGTCGGGCTTCTACACCGACCCCACCAAGCCACAGTGACAGCCCAGAGCAGAGCTCCGCGCAGCGCCCCCCGCGGTGAGGATGGAATGCTCCGGCGAGGGGCGGGGCGGGGCTCGGAGAAGGAGGGGCGTCCATGCAGCGTGCATAGCCTGTTCATGCGCCCACGACCCGCCCCGCGCCCCCTACCTGCTCCCAGCTGATCTCCTTGGTCTCCTGACCAGTTAGTGGGAAGAGGGGAGAGAAGGGGTGGGTTAAGGGGCAGGCGGAGGAGGGCGGGAGGGACGAACGGACGGACAGACAGCCACAGACTCACCCGCCACCCTGCCCCTGCCCAGGGAAAGTTAGTGCCACCCCCAAGGCCACCGGCAGGGGGCACTCACAGGCTTGGTCGTCGCGGTCAGGGACTCCATCTCCTCGTGTGTCATCCACACGTTTCCTGTGGACTGAGGGGCGAGAGGTGTTAAGGAGGTTGGGAGAAAGCTTCTGGACAGGGGAGGGGGAAGACAGTCGTGCTCCTGGAGGAGCCGAATTAGCCATGGGAACACATAATTTCCTGTATGGAACAAAATGATAAAATATTAGAAGGCAGTAAATGCCAAGGGGTGAAAAAAAATATAGGTGTTGGTGTATGATGGAGCTGGTGACTGGTTTAGCTGTTGAGTTAGGGAGGCCTCTTGGAGGTGGTGACATTTGAGCTGAGACCTCAGGGATGAGTAGGAGCCAGCCTTGGAGGTAAAAAAGAAGGACGGATGCTCCAAGAAAAGGGAGCAGCAAGTGTCAAGGAGCAGAGTAGAAAAGGAGCTGGGGAAGGGGCCCCTCATCATGGAACTTGTAGAGAACCATATGAATTTGGGTTTTTCTCCGGGATAGGATCCTTCTGCTGCGGTGTGTAAGACAGACTGAGGGTTGGAAGTAGAGGGGAGGCAGGGAGACCTGAAGGGTGTCCCACCCTCAGAGATAATGCAGGTGAGAGACTGTGCAGAGCAGGGTGTATCTGACAAGACAGAGCTAGAATG